TTTGTACATCCAGATGCTTGTGGTTTAAACAGCATTTAAAACGCGTTATGTCCATCTCCATCCTCTGAGGTGCACCCTCCATAGTGCCATGGAAAATGGCTGCACAGCATAATCCTACAAACATACAACTTCTTGAGCTGAAGTACGACTGATTTGATGATCAACTTCAAAGTGTTGTTACTTCTAATTGAATGTAACTCTTCTCGCATGTAACTGGTCAAGTTACTTGGTACTGTAGTTGCTTCTTGAGTGGTGGCTAGGTTTTGTATTGTCTTTGTAGAATAGCCTCAAGTCAAGTCAGTCCCAAAGCCACTGCAACTGTTGGGGCATCTTAGATGCTGTAATGACCCTGGTTGAGTTGCTTTGCAATCATTGGTGATTCTTCTGGCAGAGCGACCTGGTGGCACCCATCACTTCTTCAGGTATGATGGCCGTTGAATCGCAGGGAGCTCATCTGCCCTTTGACAGGTCTTGTTTTTAGTGTCCATGCACTCTCCTCACCCAGGCAAGCCAAGGTAGTCTTCAACAAGCCAACCATGGAACAGGTTGTACTGGCTTACGTGGTGCCTGGTAGCAGACCAAGAGAGGTCTGGCCTGACATTAGCCTAACAGAACAGCCTAGCAGCTGAAAACACCAACTCTTCCTCATTCTCCACTCTGAGAGAGAGCAGCAGAGAAGATGGCCTTCATTGCAAGGAGAGAGGCTGGTTCTGGTTATGACTGCAGCTGGGGTGATTAGAGATGACTAATTTATTATGTACTGTTCTGCAGAAGTGAAATTTGGAGAATAGAGGGCAGTATATGTTTCTAGGCAGAGGGTAGTACAGACCTAGTAGTCCATCAGCTTCTCTTACTCTTAGGAAAGAAAAGGGCTTTTGGGGAGGGCAGTAGTCCCAAGAGCAAGGAAAGAAAGAGGGACCAGCAGTGCCTCAGGGACTGCATTTTTGCCAGGAAAAGTAACTTTCAAAGTATTTGTGAGTGAACTTTTGCCAAAATATTTGATCTGAAATTTGGATATGGCAAGAGTAGATAAAGTTAAGATGCTGTCATCCAGACTTTTTGGATCAGATAAAGGCTTTGGGTGGATGCACTTGCTAAGTGCTTTTGAATGGCAGGAGGGATTCTGATCTCCCTCTTAATTACCCAAGGGAGAAGGGGAGGGGGAGCAGTTGGAGTGATGCAGCCTTAACTTTCATTGTGGTGCATACTTCACAAATAAGTAGGAGGAGACTCTTTGTGCCCAAGAGTCTACAGCAGCAAGTCTCAACCAGGATGCTGTGGTACCCTGCAGTGCCTTGAGATCCTTTCAAGGTGGCATGGGATGCCATGTACTGTTAGGTATGCTAACATGATTCCCAAGATAAACCCAGAGATTTCTGCTAGGAATCTGTAGTGTCAAAAGCATAAAGACCATGCATAAAGACCACCACAAAGACCATTTCTGCTGTAAGAATAAATGACCCCATACTAACTTACACACGAGAAAAAATTGCAGCTAACCCGCACGCCTGCTTTCTCTTTAGTTCCTTGACTTGTGTGCGTTGAGGTGGTGGTTAGCACCACTGTAATCATGGACCTGGGACCCTTTTCTAACTACATAAGTATAGAGTAAAATGGTGGCTGCTGCCCCAGAGGGTTTACAGTCTGAAATGAGGACTTGAAGGTGTGAACCTTGCTGCAGAATTAATATAGTTAATAATAATTTGCCCCAGCTTTGGGAGAAGAGTTGCAAATACTGCCAGAACCCCATTAAGAAACTCTGAATGTTTTGGCAGCAGGGAAATTTATTAAGAAATACGGATGTCCTTCCAGAAAAGTGTAATTTTTGCACTGTAATATACTTATTCACAGGCAGGCCCATAAATAACCATACACAATAAAATATGTTGAGTTTGATTTTTGTCTATCAGCTAAAAAGACTGATGGATGAGGAAGAGGGAGGTTCGTCATCCCAGAGTAGATAATGATGGAGTTTTTATCTCTGGCCTGGGAAGAAGTTGTGTAGTAAGATGAAAAGTGAATTCGGCACATTCTTTTTTAATATTTCTCTCTCCATTAATGTGTAAGCACCAAGGTGCTTGCAGTTAGCATTTTCTTGCATGATATTTCACTAGTTTAAAAATTTTCCACATTATTTCATTTTACCAGCTTTCTTTAGGTAGATGAAAGGTCTAGTTTTCATCAGATTCATTCAAGTTTGCTATTAAACTTCATCTAGGGCAACAAAACCTTCGCAGGCAGGCATGACATTTTGGCAGAGGCCCAATAGGATACGTGGTTTGTGCCAAATCTTTTATTTTCCTCAGCTATCAATGAAGCTGTTGTGGTAATGTGGGTTTTGTGAGCTGTGAGAATCTATGTGCACAAAGGGACCTGCTCTTTGCAGGGAACATTGGGAGCACTGAGCCCAAGAGGAAGGGTAATTAAAGTTAATGAACCAAGGTAACCTTTCCTTGGTGATGGCCACCAGTGCCACTGTAGATAAGGGTCAATAGCTGTTTCCATGTTATGTCCCACTTTAACTGCTTTAATTGGTTTCAGAGTAAAAGTTGGCAGGCAGCTGTAAAAATATATCTAGTTATATGATAGAAAAGTCTTTAAGGGAAGATGTGAAAATCCTTGGAAGCCATTTTGTCCATCCCACTTTTTTGGAAAACTTAATTTTGAAAAATGTAATTCTACCTGCAGATCCTAGTTCATTGCATCAATCCTTCCTCCCTTGCTTTTGACCAGCACTCAGAGGTGTTAGCTGTTTGTATGATGGGTGCAGAGAAAGGAAATGTGTTACCTCTCAAGATACTAGTACTTGGGGAAAATAACGTGAAACTATTAGTCAATTTAAAACTAAAAAGGATGTTTTTTTGTTTGTTTATTTCTTTTTACACGGGATGTTGTTAACTTGTGAAACTCACTGACACATGATGCGGTGGCTCATTGCTTAACCCAGTTTAAAAGGGTATTGGACCTAAGGGGATTGGGCATATTCTTGGAGGAAAGGTCCCACACGGCAGATGGGTGCAGCTTGGGAATCTGAACTTCCTAAACTTCCTATTGCTGCAGGCTGTAGTGGGAGAGGAGCAGGGGATGTACTCTCTTTGCTTGCCCCATGGCATCCGTGCTCTGCCACTGTGCAGGATGGGATACTGTACTACATGGGCCTGTGGTCTGACCCCATAAATAACAATTCCTTTTGAGTAGATGGGAAAACCCTTTAAAGCCCCCCACCTTGGTCATTAATTGTCTGGGAAGGTCATAAGCACTGTTTTTTCCACGCTTATTAAAGCAGGATCTTGGAGTACTTATAAACTCACTTTAAAGGAAGCATATTTATTTCCCCAAATGTGGACTAAACAGGAGAGGTTTCAACTGCATCAGAAGTTTGGCAGAGCCTGGCATAGCACCTAGCCCAGGGATGGGTGGCCATTATTTGGGCCCATGGCCCACAAAGGGAGTTTTGCTGAGCTGTTGTGGGCCAAGTCAGCATCTCCCTCTCCCCCCCAGTGCAACAACTGAGCAAAATACTGTATGTGGCATGCAGCCACGGGGAGGCGGGGAGTGGTGTTTGGGAGTGAGATGGAGATGGGTGGGCAAAGCCAAGATGATGGGGTAATGACAGCACAGGGCCAGGGCAGAGCCATGATCTGTTGCCTGCATGGGCTAGATTCTGCGGACAGGGGTGTGTTCATTGTGGCTCTGCCCTGGCCCTGTGCTGTCACCACCATGAGATCCCAACCCTGGCCCCTGACCCAGCTCCCCCGCACGTGTGCACTCGGTCCTTGGGGCTCCTGGCTGGTCTTCATGGCGACCTCAGGATTGCATGGTAGTGACCGCATGGAGCTGGGCAGAGCCCCAGTCCTGAGGACAGGGACGTGTGCAGGGAGCATGTCACAGCTCTGTCTTGCCCCTGCATTATCACTGCCTCATGATCCCAGGGTCTCCATAGAGGGCAGGTGGGTGGGGGGCTGCATCTGGAGCCAGGGCTGGGAACTTGGGGTGGTGACAGGACAGCATGGGGCTGGGGTAGAGCTGTGATCTGCTCCCTGCACGCCTCTGCCCGTGGAACCTGTGCCTGTTGCAGGGCCATGTGGGCAGCAGATTGCAGCTCTGCCCCATATTGTCACCACCCCAAGATCTTGGGGTTTCTCCAGCCCTACACCTGCCCACTTGTCTGCTCCCTGCCAGCCCATTGCCCTATCCCAGCTTCCCAGCTGGGTGCCTTGCCGGCTCAGGTCCTGCCCCTGGCAGTGGATGTGGGGCAAACTGGCTGGGGTGCCTGGGTAGCGGGGCTGGGTCCAGCAGCTGGAAGGAGGCACTGCCACTAGGGCTGCCAGGAAATGGAGCCTGGCTGCAAGGCTGCCCTAGCCCCAGGTGTGCGGGACTGGCTTCACATGCCACTCCTTGAGCTGCCCCTTGTGCTTGGGCTTGGTGGGACTGTGGGACCCACCATGGGCCAGACAAACCTCTTGGCAGCCTGGATCCAGCCTGTGGATCATATTTTGCCCACCCCTGATAGCTGGGGTGACATCTTGCCCAGCACACAATCTTAACATCTTACTGGATAAGCAGTGCTGAGGCCTGGCACCCTCAAGTGCATTAATGTGTTGGAGTTTTGTTTTTCTGGTAGCGCGAATTACAGTATCATGGATTCAGTCCTCCTTAAATGTGTATTTGGCAGGGAGCAGTACATGTAAATGGGGCTGGGGAACATTGTGACTCGACTAAATGACCTTGTAAAGTTCCTTCAGCCCTGCTTTTCTATGATCCTATGCATGTACAAAAGTGAGAATGGCCTGGGAAACTGGATTTACATGTGAGGCTGCATCAAGCTTGAAGTGCTCCGAAAAGCAAAATTAAATAAATCTCTCTCTTGAGTTGCTCTTTCCATGTGCTGGCAATGAGAGCAATCTGTTCAAAAGAGAACTTTACATTTTCTTGCTGGCTTTGTTTGTGGTTTTTTGTGGGTTTTTTTAATCATTCCTTTTTTTTCTTTTTTGATATAGAGACTGTTTATTTGTTCGGGGGCTGGGATGGGACTCAGGACCTGGCTGACTTCTGGGCATACAGCGTGAAGGAAAACCAATGGACTTGTATCTCTAGAGATACTGAAAAGGAGGTAAGTTCCATGATCATTCCTTGTGTATAACATGTGATCTGTTATACTCGCACTATCTGGCAAGTTTCTGAAACGCTTCAGCATCAGTGGAACATCATTCATAAAGAGCTTACCACTTTAGCATTAAATTTCATCTGGTTAAAAGTGATAACTGCTTGCAATCCCAAAAATTTTTTAGCGTGTTTTTTATTTGAATCATCGTCTTCAGCCTGTTTTGCTCAACAGTTGTATGAAGCCTTTGGCATGGCTAGTAGAAATCTAGATCAGTAGACCTGTAACTTTTTTTTTAAGGCCCAAGAGACTATTAGTTCATTTTGTCTGTCACAGGTCATTGAAACTTCAGGTTACCTCTGTATTGAGCCCAGTACCTTGTTAGCTTAAAGCATATCTTCTAGAAAGGCATCTTGTTGTGATTTGAAGGCTTGGAGAGGAAGGACCCTCTTGGTAATTGTACTAGCTATTACCCTGGCTAGGGGGAAAAGCTTGTCTGGTTTCAGCTTGTTGGTGGTTGTATTATTCTCTGCTAAATTAAACAGCTTCTTAGTAGACAGTGCATTTTCCTTTTGAAGGTACTTTAATACTTGAATAAAATTTACCTTTCTAGCCTTTGATAAGCTATAAATGGCTTGAGCTTTGTTGTCTTCTGCATAAGGGGATTTTTTTTCCTAGCCATCAGATCTTTTTGTGGCCCTTCTTTTACCCCCCCCCCAACATCTTTTAGTTTTTCACTGTACAAGGTACAGAAGGGCAACCAAAATGATCAGCAGTCTGGAGCAGTTGCTCTACCAAGAGAGCCTAAAAGGGCTAGAGGCTGAGCGGGGGGTGACGATAGAGGTCTATAAAATCGTGGAGGGTGTGGACCAAGTAAGCAGGGAACTGTTGTTCACCAAGTCCCAGAGTATTAGAACTAGAGGGCACCTGCTGAACGTAGTAAGTGACAGGTTCAAGACTAACAAGAGAGTACTTTTTTTGCAATTCTTAGTTAATTTGTGGAATTCATTGACACAGGAGGTGGCGGAGGATGGTTAGCATACCTGGGTTCAGAAAAGGGCTAGATGGACCGTAAGTCTGATACAGTACAGTGCTTGTATTCTAATGGACGCCGAAACTGGGTGCAGTATTTCAGGATCACTCTCTTGAGAGCTGCTCTTAATGACTCAAAAGGTAGGAGGTAGTTACAACTGCAGCCTTCTGCCAGCAGACCCACCATACCCTCCAGGGCAGACAAGACCATGCATCGGGTTTGTGCCTGCAATAGACCCTGCTGCTGCTTCCCTACCTGTCTGAGTGCCTGCAGAGCAGGAGGAGCCTGGATGGGATACAAGGGGAAAACGCTGGCTGGAACAGCAGCTTTCACATCTCCTTTCTTCTCTGAGTTCGTTATACCTGTTCCCTCAGCAAGGGTTATGGGAAAAGGCACTAGGAAGTGACATAGGCCCTAAGAGGAAGCCACAGGCTGGAGAAAGCCATCTCTGGGTTGAGAAATGCTGGGAAGCATCTATGAAGGGGAACTGGAGGAAAGGCAAGGACGAGGGCTGGGTACTGCAAAAGTGAAGGAGATGGACAGCAAAGAGTATCTTGAGGAAGAACGAAGGGTCCTCAAACGAGAGGGAAACAGTGGGGTAATTTTTTAGAAAAAGGCTGAAGGAGCATAAGGAGAACCTGGCACAAGGGAGTGTCAAGCTTTGAAGAGAGAGGTTGGAGGTGTTGGAGCTTGTGGGAAATGGTCTGAAAAGAGTTTGGACAAGGTAGGAGGAAACGTGGAACATGGGAAGGTCCACAACATAATTTGAGTTTTTATTGCTGGGCGATTGCTGAAGAAGAGCGTTTGCAGAGGTTGAATAAAGTACACACCCATGTAACAAACTGGCTGTTATACTTGTAAACAAGTATTGTCTGTCTTTCTAATGAATTCTGGGCAAACCTGATGAGATGTGATTCTGACCTTTTCCTATCTCAGTAAGTAAACTCAAAAACAGACTCCAGATGTTCCTGTGAAAGGAACATCAAATGTTCATAAACAGGTTGCTAAAAGGAAATGTCTGACATGGAGTTGTTGAAAATATTCAAATAGATTCCAAGAGAACTTGTTTTCCTTTCACATTGGAGCATGCAAGTTCTATTTCTGTCTCTCTAATGCTTATTTGGCACAGGTTTTCAGTACCCCCTGAATAATTAAACTGTTTAGCTAAAACAAGAGCAAAATACAATTATTGTCCTGAATTAATGTAACCTTAAGGGTTAGATTTAAAAAAAACAACAACGACCAGTTTTAGGACAAAGATGTAACATTAGAAGGAAGATGATAGTGTCACCTATATTTAGGTTGCCTGGCCCTTTCTATTATAGATTTATTCTTGCGACCCTTTTAAAAACTGTCTTGCTTCTGGCTTTTTTTCCTGGGTTGAGAAATACTAGGAGGCAGCTGTGAAGGGGAAATTCCTCCATTGAGACCTCAGTTGAAGGAAATGCCTTTTTGTCCTAATAAATTCCATTTGGGTTTAACTCAGCGTTTTGAGCTACTGAATCACAATTTCTCTTCTGCAGCTTCTGTTGTCAGCAAAAGGTTGGTAGCCTGCCAGAATAACTGGATACTAACAATCTAAAAAGTTGGGCTCACAACGCGGCAACAGCTGCAGAGGCAGATGATACTTTGCTGAAAACTGGGTGCAAGCATTCTGGCTGCTGCCAGAGCAACTGGAGCACGGTGCGAGGTGGGCTGGACTTTTTTCCATTTCCCACCTTGGTTTTAGTGTGTGGAGCCAATGACGCCTCTGCCGTCTGTTAGGGCTCCACCTGGATATAACAACCATTTGTTCTTGCTCTTGTACCCCTACTCGTAACCGTCTTTTTTGCATATAATATGATACAACAAGCGTAGTGCCAAAGAAAGCATGGTCAGATCCATAAATGTCAAGAACCTTTGTTTTGGACACTGTTGAACTAGGTTAAGCCTTTAGAGGCAGTGCTATATGAATGGGCAAGACTTGGTAATGATGCAGTAATTTTAATGGGAAGCTGGTGTCTGAATCCTGTAAGTGACTTTGAAAAACATAGAGCCTGTGTTGTTACAGTCTGTCCTCCAGTCTGTTAGATTCATAAATTATAAGGCTGGCAGGAACCTCGGAAGATCATTGGGCCCAGCCCCCTGCACCAAGCAGGAAAGACAGCTGGGGTTAAGTGACCCCAGCAAGGTGACTGTCCAGTCTGCTCTTGAAGATCTCCATGGTAAGTAATTGCATCCCCTAGATGTCAGGGTTAACTGAGAGGCCTTTTTGTGGTCTCTTGTTTTGTCATCAGTTGGAAGCGACGTGCCTTGGTGGTGTTTGCTTAGAAACAAGGGCTGTAAAGTATTGTTCAAGTGCAGATTTTTCTTGGAAGAGGTAACATGCTAACTAAGTAGAAATATTCACAGAAGAACTTGAGCCCATCAGGTGGTCGTATGAAAGACTTCTTTTTCTTGTAAGCTGATAGTTTTCAAAAGTGTTTGAATTTCTTGGAAATCACAAAGCCTCTAAATTGGGTCAGAACTGTAGAGATTTGAGAGCTCAACCCTAGTAAGTAAATCGGTGCCCTGAGTAGAAGGATGATTTGCCCTTGTATTATGGTTCATAAAATTTGTATTACAGAAGCTCCTTGAGACCCCATTTGGGATCAGGGATCAGCTGTGCTATGGGCTAAATGAACATGGAGTCCTACACCTTATTCATATCTGAGAGAGAGAATGGGCGAAAGAAAAGAAATACAACATGAGTGTCTGTCTCCAGGAGCTACTGTCACCCCCGTTCCACTTCCTGCAGGGAGCCCTGCTCCCTTCAGGGGTCTCATGACCCACCCAGAAGCTCCCCAGTTTGTTCCATTGGGTAGTCTTCTCCCTCTGCCATGGTCTTGGGGTGCCCTGCCACCCCTTGAGATCTTTTTAAGCATGCCACAGGGTGCAAGAGTATAAGCCTTGTAAGAAGTAAATTGGTTTTTGAAATGGGGTACTAAACTTAGAAAAGCTGTGGAGGGTGTTTGGATCTAAAAGGGTTGCGAGCCAGGGGCACTTGTACACATGCTGATATCATGAAGTACACACACCAAAAATTTCCCTTTGTGTGGCTTAATGGCCTCATATTGCACGTAGGCAAGTTTTTGTGAGTTTTAAATGAGTTTGCATCGTTGCGACCTGGAACGTTGCAGCCACTAGTCAGCTCACCCCCTGGCCATGGGAGGGGCAAGCAGGCTTTGCCAAAAAAAAGATCAGGCCCTTCACCGCTTCTGCTTTAAGGCAGGCTCCTATAGGTGGCAGGAGCCTGCTTTAAAGCAGAAGCGGTGGGGGGCCCAGTCCTTTCTGTTGTGGAGCCTCCTCACCTGCCCTGGGGCTGAGGGGAGCAAGCTGCCAGTGGGCCAAACAGTTGCTGAGTTGTGAGGGCACCCTGTGGTCCTTCCCTGCGGTAGTGGCATCCTTCAGGGCTGGGTGGGCAGGCTGCTAGCTGGGTGAGTGCTGCCTGAGCTCGTAGGCACCTGGTGCAACTTCCCTGGAGCCTGCCCAGGCTTCCCGCACCTTGCGCACCATCCCTGCTGCCTCGGGGGCAAGTCGCCCTGTTCCCAGGCGTTCTGCTGGCCGCAGGTGCCTGCCGAAGGCACAAGCAGCGAGGGGCCCGATCCTTTTCTTCAGCGGAGCCTGCCTGCTTCTCCCATGGCTGGCAGGTGAGCTGACAGATTAATGGCACATATTAATGACCTGCCGGGTCATTAATATGGGAGAGGTGGGCAGGCCCTGCCAAAACAAACAAACAAAAAAGGATCAGGCCCCTTGCCACTTCTTCCTTTGGCAGGCACCTGTGGCCACCAGGACAATGCCATGTATATACGGTGGTGGAAAAACAAAACCCACCGTTTCAATTCAAAACTCAGCATTTCAATTAGGGGGCATAGAATGCAACCCAAGGACTAAACCCCTGTCACGTGAACAAGCACCCCAGTGTTTTAAGATCCTGGGGCATATGCCTAACTTG